TTCAAATTGAACTAGAAACCAGGCATGGCCCTCCGTCCGGCGATATGTCCGTCGATTTTGAACGCAGACCTCGCCAACTTGGCTGCAGAGTGTCGGAAGCTTCTTATGGCAGGTTGTGTTTTTTTTCCTGTCGTAATTTTTACTATACCTTTTGAAACTGCTCTTGTTACTTTTGCCGTTGTTCTTTTACAGCCCTTATAAGACAATGTACAGGTGCCGACTGGTTACATTTGGATGTGATGGATGGGCACTTCGTTCCGAACTTGACTTTCGGTCATCCACTTGTGGAATCGTTGCGGAAAAACCTTGGACCTGAGCCGTTTTTCGATGTTCATCTCATGGTTAGTACTCGAATTCTTGTCGTATAGGTGGTCTAATTATCAAAAAAGGGATATAGTTCAGGGGGAAGCGTAAGGGAGCTCTCATACTTTGCGGCAGCGTTTCAGCGTCTGTCAGCTTCTGACCGTTTTACTCAAAACGCTAAAACGCTAGCAGACGCTCAAAATGCGCAGAAGTCAGCAGAGCATTTCTTGGCTTGTTGGTTTTACACTGTGTAGCACTGCCCCTTTGGTCCTGGTGCGAATGTCGCTGCCTGTCTTTTTGGCCGCTGCCGCCGCATTTCAGAAGTTATGGAATACTCTCAAAAAATCGTTTAGTTCAGTAGGTGATAGTCCAGCATTTACGCGCAGCGTAAAGTGCGAAACTAGCGTCACTAGTTTCGCACTTTTCGAACTTTTATCAGCTGAACGTTTTTCACGATTTATTTTCATATGTATTATTCTATTTGCTGGATGTAGAGCGACTTACTTGCATGGTCGCGAGAACACGCGCAAAAAACGAAAGCTTGAGGGAAAGGTGCGCCCTGTACAAGAGCGGTCCTTATACCCCAGAAAATAGGGTTTCTGAATTGTTACGGTGTCGGCTGTTTAGGTCTCCGACCCTGGTCGATGGGTGACTCCAATGGCTGCGGCGGGAGCAAGTCAGTTCTGTTTCCATTGGGAGGCCGCCCATGAAAAAGGTGGTGATGAAGAGGTGTCTTCGGTTATTGACAAGGTATTTCTGAAGTCTTCGCAATCTTCATCTATACATTAACGCTGAGATTCATTCTTGGAGAACTGTAGTAATTCCTTGCAATTATTCAGATCCACAAAGCCAATATGAAAGTTGGGTTTGCCATCAAACCGAAAACTCCAGTGGAGAAAGTCCTTCAGTAAGTATATGTACCAATTTGTTGGTTTTACGCAGTACCGCATTTTTCTTCACTAGTGAAGCGAGTTGATATGCCCTCGCGTGCGGTTGCGCTGCGGCTAGTCCTTTAGCCAGTATTTCCAGGTTTGCTGATAACATTGACATGGCTTTAATAATGACTGTCGAACCAGGATTTGGTGGTCAGAAATTCATGGGTGACATGATGGACAAGGTGACATGTTCAATTATTCTTTAAAGATACATTCCGCGATATTTCGATTGGCGGGAAAATTGGGGAGGGGGTAGAGAGGAATCACAATCATTGTGTCTTCCTCACTAGCCCTTCTTTTCTTGTGAAATCAGTAGGAGTCAAATATCAGTAAGAAAGCCACAGTGGATAGAGGTTTCCGCCCATACAATTATCGCGGAATATGTTTGTAAATAGAAAGAGTAATGATGAGACCTCTTTTTAAGGTTCGCACATTAAGAAAGGCTTACCCCTCACTCAATATTCAAGTAGATGGCGGCATATCGACTTCGAATATTCAAGTGAGTCAGTTTGATTGGGTCTGTCGGTTTGAATTGTCAACGCGGTGCATTTCAGATACCAGCTGAAGCTGGTGCGAATGTGATAGTCTCGGGTACAGGCGTCATTAAGGCTCCTTGTCAGAAAACTGCAATGAGCAAGCTTCGAGAGGCTGTACAGGCTGCTATCGATAAGGGTTATTAGTGAATTTTAGTCTTTCCCTAGAACATTCCAGAAGGGCAATTCTCATTCCACTGAATATTTCAGTGATGACTAGACGCTAGGTAATGTACATCTTAATAATCTAATATCTGATGAATTATTGATTGATTGGTTGTGCTGTATCACTTAATCTTAATAAGCGCTCAATTCTTCATGCAGATGTATTATGGGTGTATATGTTAATATAATGTTTACTACTGCACATTGTCTACATGAAATTAAATGGCAGGTTCTTGATTTGTTGCGAAAACAATAAGAAAAGCTGTCAGAGGGGTGCATTTGGCGCGGCGCCAGCCAATTTTCCATCAATTGTGGTTGCCTGCCGGTTTCCACAATTGGTGAAGAAAAGGCTGCTGCCACGCCGTACTCATAAACGTGCTTAACTTGGAGTTAAGGTGGTTGAGGGGGAGAGGGGAGAGGCTAGAGTCAGAGGCTTCAGTCGGCTCTTGTCATATTTCTGTCCGTCCGTGCTTTGCAGGACAAATGGATGGAAAAGGGAAGGAACGTCACTTGGTTGAAGGATGCAGACAAACAGGGGAGCATGGGACCAGGGAGCCATGACCATGAGTGCCCTCTCTCTTGGCTCGCGACATGTTTTTGTACCTTTCGATGGCAGTCCTTTATTTCTATGCGCTCTGGCCTTTTCGCAGCAGGATCCTCACCAAAAGTTTAGT